TGAAGCGCAAGCGATCAGTAGATGATAAGGATTTGAAACATCCTATGAAATTGTAACCACGCGGGCGCTCCACACTCGCTGAGGCTCTAGCGCAGTCCATGGCGCTGCGATGAAACGCAGGTGGCGCAATCCTGGGCCTCCCCTGTGCCCCCTCCCCCCCTCCCTCCCGCCCCCTCCTCCCTCGTGGTCTTGCTCCTCCTCGTCCACCTTCTTCCCCGTCCTCGTGCTTGTCGTTCTTCTTCGTCCACCTTCTTCCCCGTCCTCGTGCTTGTCGTTCTTCTGCCTCCCCGTCTTGCAGGTAATCCTCGGAATCCCCCGTACGTCTCTTGGCCAATATCGGGGTCATTTTGGTTGCTTCTGATCCGTCGTGTGATCCTCGAGGGTGGGGGGAAACGCTATAGAGGAAATGTGGAGTTTCTTTTTGTGTAGTGGGCCGTGTCGGACTCCTGACTGACGATGATTGGGCCGCGTCTGAGGCTTCGGTCTGTCGTGCGGATGTCGTGGGCCGTCTCACGCTGGACGATTCTGTCGTCTTGGAGGAAGTCTTGAGGAACTCGGTGGCCACCTCCAGCTATCTTGAAGCCGTCTTGAGGCCTCTCGGACGTAGGCCTCGGAGGCCGCAAGGGGGGTATGTTGGAGCCCCTTTGGGGCCATCCAGGGGATCTCTCGGGGCCATCTTGGGCCGTGTTGAGGCCTGCATGGGCTGAGCTGGGTCGCCTTGAAAGTCTCGTGGGTTGCAGCGCCTTCCACTGTCACCAAACCGACGAGAGACGCGTGCAGAGAGGGACGAGGCAGAACGCGCTCGAGGCGCCCGAGTAGTCGAAACCCTTCAATGGTAGTCCCCTGGGTCCGGTTTTCAAGGAGCCGCTTCTGGAAGCGAGGGGGTCTGGTTTATCAGGGCGTTGTCCTGAAACCGAAGACGAGAGGGGCCGGGAATATCAATGCCCCCCGCTGACAGGGGGGTCCAGAAAGTTGGGCTGCTGCTGAAGTGGGGTCTGGTTTGTTAGGGTGGGGGCCCGATCATTAAGTGACTTCGAGTACTAAAACAGGGCCAGGATCGGGATACATCGCTCCAGAGCGTTCCGGAGCGCTCTCAGAGCGTTCCGGAACGCTCTGGAGCGGTCGCGGCGCCCAATACATCCTCCAAACCCGCCGATTCTCAGAGATTTCGAGTTATCCCGATCCGATTTTGTCCCGATCTTCGCGTCGTTTTACAGGCTCATTCTAGCATGACGCGCACTAGACTGGGAATTTTCGGTGCCCCTGATCCGACGAAGGCGTCTACACGCCGCCACCGTGCCAGGCATGGCCATCCTGGAAAGCGTCGGCCTGGCCATGGCCATGGCCATCCTGGAAAGCGTCTTCGGCGGGAAGTTTCACGGCCTGGCCATGGCCATGGCCAGGCCGTGAAACTTCCCGGCGAAGCGTCGGCCATGCGGGAGAGCCGCTCGCCGAGGCCGCGCGGCCGAAAAACCTGCACGGCGGCCCGCCGTCGGAGGGCATCTTTTGCCGCCCGGCAGCCGACCCCCTCCCGAGACCCATGCCAAGAAAGGCCCTGCTTGCCTCCAGGATGCTCCTCCTCCTCCTCCTCCTCCTCCTCCTCCTCCTCCTCCTCCTCCCCGACCTCCCCCTCCCCCTCCCTTTTGTTGTTTTGGGGGGGGTGATGGTGATCGTTGTTCTATCCCTTGCTCTGCCGATCGGCGCGGGCCCTCGCGCCCCCGCGCCCCACCCCCCACGGAGTGGATCTGGTCTGTTTTTTGGGCCCCTGGGTGGAGTCTCCCCCAGAGGCAGCACTCCTGCAGACAGTCGCACTGGGCAGAGGTCTGGATCCAGACCCCCCCCCCTTCCCCCCCTTTCCGCCCAATGTCGAAACGCCGGATAAAAACACGCTCACATGTTGCCATGGAGAGCGTGACGTTCCCACACCAACACTCCATGGACGTTCTGGGGTCTCAGGGTTGAGTCTCTTGTGGCAGGTTTCTTGTGGTCTTGATGGGCACATCTTCCACCACCAATCTCTGTAAAAAACATCGATTGCGCGCACGCCTTTATCTCAAAAGGTTGTTTTTGATCGTCCATTGCTTGGCGCTGTTTGGAAACGTTGCTTGGAATTGCTTGGAGCCCTCGCTTGGCATTGCTTTGCGTTGCTTAGCGTCGCTTGGCAGTCCTTGGCTTGCTCAGCATTGCTTGGCATTGCTTGGCGTTCCTTTGCATTGCTTGGCTTTGGCCTTGCATTGGCTTTGCATGTATTGGCATTGTTTGACGTTTCGTGGCATTGCTTTGCGGTACTGGGGGGGGTCCAGACCCCCTCCAGACCCCCTCGGTTCTTCCCGGGGGGCGGGGCGGGGAGATGGGGGGACCCCCACCAGTTGACCCCCCCCCGTCGGGGAGAACCCCCTCGACGCTCGAAGGAAGAAACAGCCGATCTTCCCCCTTGGGGGGGGAGGAGGGGGGGGGGGGGGGGGCAAACCGGCCAGCGGAGCGCAGGCCACGCCAACGGGGATGTACAGTGCCGTTTTTTATACATGCTCCGGGTGCGGATCATGTATTAAAAGTGCAGGGGGGTAGTATTTAAAACAACGATGAGTTCATGCACACATTTAGTATTAAATTAGTCATGTATTAAAATCCGATGTCCTTTCACAAACATCCTATGTATTAAAAGCTGCCCTGTATAGAAAAAGAAAAAAAAACGCCATCAACATAAAACTGTTGGCGCTCCGCGCGGATTTCCAGGACCCGCGACTGGGCCGCCCGGCGCGCGGAGCGCGCCGTGGGCGGCGCCAGAGGCGCCGCCAGGGGGGGGCCCAGAATCCCAAAGAAGTCCTCGCGGAGCGACAGAAAAGCTCGCGTGCATGGCGTTCTTTCGAAACTTCTGGGGCCGATTCTTTGGACGCCCGAAATGGGTACCGAAAAAATGGGTACAACGCCCAAACAGCAAACGTTGTCCCAAACCAGCAGCGGCCGCTGTTGGGCAGGCGGCCCTCTGTCTCGAATGGACACAGGCCGCGGCGGCGTGGACAGCGAGTCCTGCTCAAAATGAACAGGAACTGCTGTTGGGCACTGTACCCATTCTTTCCGTGCCCATTTCGGGCGTCCAAACTTTCGAAACTTCTGGGGAACAGGAACTGCTGTAGGGCACTGTACCCATTCTTTCCGTGCCCATTTCGGGCGTCCAGAGATTCCACGGTTCGGGTCGGGCGAAAGGGGGGGATAGCAAAGGGGGGGGTTGGAGAATCAGCTCACGTAGCTGATTTTCCCGGCGCCTCCCGGCGCCGGAGGCGGCTATGTATCGAGGAATGGGCTCCTCGGTGAGGCCGAAATCAGCTGCATGCAGCAAATTTCGTACCCCCCCCCTTTCCCAATCCCCCCCTTTCGCCCGGCCCGAACGGTGCGCACCCGCCAGCACCGACCCCGTGGAGGCCGGCGGGCCAGCCGCGGAGCTCGGCGCGCGGAGGGGCAGCCCCCCCGGTCGCCCCTCCGCGGCGGCCGGCCGGCCGTGGCGGCGGGGCCGGCCCCGGGTGCGGCGCGCACCAGGGGGGGAGAGCTTCTTAGGAGGAGTGTGGCCTGTTGCGCTCCTGCCTCTATCGGGTCGGGCGAAAGGGGGGGATAGCAGAGGGGGGGGTTGAGAATCAGCTCACGCAGCTGATTTTCCCGGCGCCTCCCGGCGCCAGATGGAGCTACGTATCGAGGAATGGGCCCCTCGGTGAGGGCGAAACCAGCTGCATGCAGCAAATGTCGTAACCCCCCCTTTCCCAATCCCCCCCTTTCGCCCGGCCCGATTCTAGAGAAGCCTCTTAGAAGGAGGCTGCTTAGAAGGAGGCTGCGTCTTGAGAGGGGGGAGGGGGCAGGGGGGGAAGCTCCCTAGAGCGAGGCTGCTCGGCGGTTCAGAGATGGGGTACCGAAGGAAGGACGGGGACCTGGGGGTGGGATGCAAGGGCGGATTTGCGTTGTGTAGCGCAGCTCGTCCTCTTAGGACCCCATCCCTCAGGACCCCATCTTTGAACCACCTAGCTGCTTCTTAGAAGGCGCTGGCCCTTCATCTACAGGCAAGGCCCGCGCCTCCTGCGAGGCAACGACAGGGGGGGACTGGCATAGGTGAGGGTGCATCGACCTGGAATCGGCGATACATCGACGACGAATCGGCGATCAACCCCCGATAGCGAGACCGCACCTTCATGGGCGGAGTGGGGACATCAGACCCCTATCGGCGATCATGGGCGATTGGGAGTCGGTGCATCCCCCCCTGTGCCCATCCCCCCCTTCTCGTCGTCCACTCCCTCCCCCATGCCCCCCCCTGCGCGTGGCCGACCCCCGCGCGCCTGGCACGCCCTGCAGGCGGTCGCCGAGCAGCCCCCCGATCGGCCCGGCCGTGGAATGCCCCATGCTTTTCTCCATGTCGTCCGTGCTTTCGCATTCCCCCCTCCACTTCCCGTATGTTCTTATACTCCAGATTTCGTAATAAAGGGAGGGGGGTCTCATTTCGGGGAGGGTCTCTTCCAGGCCATCTTGGAGGGCCTGGGGGGTCTGGGGACGATGTTTTGGAGGGTTCTCCCACGGAGGGGGTCTGAAATGGCTTGTCTTGGAGGATCCAGACCCCCTCCCTTTTATTTCGAAATCGGGAGTATGCTCCCGGGGGTCGCCGAAGAATCGTGTGTGTGTTGTGTTGTGTTGTGTTGTGTTGTGTTGTGTTGTGGTGTGGTGTGGTGTGTTGTGTTGTGTTGTGTTGTGTTGTGTTGTGTTGTGTTGTGCTGTGTTGTGTTGTGTTGTGTTGTGTTGTGTTGTGTTGTGATGTGATGTGATGTGTTGTGTGTGTGTGTCTGTGTGTGTCTGTGTGTGTTTAGGTCGGGCATGTGCATGTCCCCCTACAGGCGGAGTCTGGACAAACATGCCAATACTCGAAACGTGTTCACACACACTTTTTCAAAGATGCCCCCCAGGATCGCCTCCAGACTATTTCTGGCCTATCCTTTGAACTTTCCTCCTGTAGAGGGACACGCCCGCCTTCAGTCTGGGTGCTTGTTCCCCCTCCCGAGATCGGCCCGGCAGCGGAGCGCTCCGAGGCCCCCAGGCGCCCGCCGGTCGTCGAGCTCGGCGGGCAGCCCCGCCAACACCGCTGGAGAGAGCAAAGGGAAGTGCCCGAGCACGGCCCGTCGGAGGTCCTCGCGGGCTGTTGGCATCTGCGCGCGGGCACGGGGCAGTTTTTTTCATGCATAGCAGATTGAAACATATCGGATGTTTCATGCATGATTAGTTTATATGGTTAAATGTAAGCATGAACTCGTCGTTGTTTTGAATACTAAATCCCGGCATGTTTCATACATGATCCGCACGCGGAGCATGTGTTAAAAACGGCACTGTACAGTGGGGGCCCGACCACAAGAAACATCCCACGAGAAGCCCAACCCTGAGACCCCAGGACGTCCATCGATCTGTGTTCTGGGAACGTCGCGCCTTCCATGGCAAGACCATCGAGGCCCAAGAAACTCAGGGCACCCTGGAGGCAAGCAGGGTGCTTCTTGGCATTGGCCCCCACCGTGAGGTCCAGGGACACACACACACACACACACACACACACATATGGACACAAATCCCAGGACTCCCCAGATCTTCCCACATGTTCTGGGCTTCCGTCTTCCCCCCCCGCTCCCCACATGTTCCCACATACTCCTGGGAATCGATGACTCCTTCTCTATGCCTGCTTCTTTCCCCTCCGGAAAGAGGACGCCCGAGAGATGCCCAAATCGGGCGAGGACCGGCCGACAAATCTCGGAGCCCTGGCGTCTCTGGAGGATGCCTCGGGCGCCGCGGCCTTCTCAGAACATGCCAGAAGACTCTGAGATCTGAGCGCGATCCATAACGCCCTGGAACGAACCCAGACATGCGACGTCCTGATGTTTTCAGGGCGGCGTCCCTGGAGATCCCTACCCTTTCCCAGGGACCGGTTTTTCATCCTGAGTCGTTGTTGACGGTCCCGAAGCCCGGCGGGGGCCCCACGAGGCCGAAAACGGCAGAAAACCCGGCGACCTGATTCTTTTACGACGCGATCATGTCTGGGATCTATCCTCGTCCGAGCCCCGTCCCACCCCGGGCCCCATGGCGGCGCGTCTAGCGCCTCCCTTGGCTCAGGGCCCCCCAGACGGGGCCAGAGCGGGAGGGGCCGGAGGACCGCGCCGCATCGCCGATGCCATCGGCGGTGGGGCGGGATGCGGAAGCCTAGGGGGCCACATGCGAACCCTACCTCTACCCTTAGGTCGGGCATGTCCCCCTACAGGCGGATTTTGGACGGAAAACAATTAAACATAGCAGAAAAATGCCCAAACATCTTCAAAGATACTAGAAGAATCGTCCCCAAACTATGTTTGACTATGCTTGAATATTCCTCCTGTAGAGGGACGTGCTCGACTTAACCCTACCCCCCACGATTTCTGAGGGGGAGGGCTGGGTTGACTTCGCTCGGGAGCTCCCGAGCTAAATGAACCCCACCTTCCCGCTCAGAAATCGTGGGGGGTAGGGGTAGGGTTCGCATGTGGTCCCAAAAAACGATGTTATCCGCGCCGACGTGACTGATGCATCGCCGGTGTCGCCGATGCATCGGTGATGCGTCGAAGATGCGGCGTTCCTCCGACCCAATCCGCTCCAGCCCCATCTGGGAGGCCTCTCACAACTCCACTAGCGTAGCTGTCGAAGCTCCGTGCGGAATTCTTTGATCTGCGCTGGGCCCAGGCACCATGCGACAAAATGGCTCGCCTGTCGGCAAGGCGGAAGAGTGAAGCCGGGTGGCGCCAGGAAGGCGAAAGAGTGGCTCGAGCGTGAAGTGAGGGGCGCGGCACGGCTGGCAGGGCAGCCGCGCAGAAAAAAAACATATACAGATTATCTCTGGATTGCCAACAGCGTTGGAACACCAAAGTACTGTGCTCTGCCGACCTCCGCTTGTCGGGTGTGAAAAATCGTGTGAGATATGTGGCTGTCCCCCATCCCCCTTGCTCCCCTCCGCTGGGGTCCAACACCCCATTTGAGAGGGGGAAGGGGGGGAGCACGAGCTCGTGAACGCAGCTCCGGGGCCATCGGAGGCTCCATATCCACCTCCGACGCCTCTGGGATGCCGAAGATGCCCCCGGAGATGGCTGAGGGGCTCCGACGCGCCCGAGAGGCCCCTGGCATCCATGATTGCCTCAGGACGGCTCAGAAGACACTCAAAGAGGCCTCAAGAGGACCCACAAGACGGCCCGAGAACCTCCCCACACCCGTCCAAGACGGCCGACGAGGCCGCCAACAGGGCCTGCAGAGGGCCCGAAATGGTCCCAAGACTGCCCAAGATGCTCCCTATTCAATCAAAAAGGCTCTCAAGAGGGCCCCAAGAGAGGCGGGAGAGGCTCGAGAGGGGGAACTCGACTCGTGGGCACCCCAGGTGAACCTACCCCCACGAGATGGCCCTCAAGACGCCCAACATGCCCCGCAGATACCCTCAAGAGGCCCCCAAAGATTTCTTCAGTGGGCCCCCAGAAGACTTGAAAAGGCTCCCAAGAGGCATCCCCCGAGGCCTCCACTGAGTGTCGTTTAACCGATCCCCATCCCCACCAGCGTGAACTGGGCCCCACTGGCCGATTTACCCCCCTGGGATGGGGATATAGGCCGTTGTCTTCAGGTCTCGAGGGGCACATCCCCAACTGACGTGGTGAGACGGTGGGGCGCGAGGTGTGGATGGGGATGGGGGCAGGGATCGGTGAAGCGATACTGATCCACGAGGCCCCCAGGACGCCCTGCTGCAGACGCAGGGGAAGAGGGGGACCGACCAGCACCAGCTGCATGCACGCATCCCGCCGGGAGGCGGCAGGCAACACGTGCGACACCGGCCATCGCACAGCTCATCCTCTGGGGGTCGGCGGCGGAAGAGCGGCCTCCTCCTCTTATTCCTCCTCCTCCTCCTCCTCCTCCTCCTCGAGGCGCGAGGCGAGTGCCGCTGGCATGGCTACAAGCCGCCCGCGTGAACGCCGTCAAGCGGAAGGGCCGATGGACGGGGCCGCTCGCGGATCAGAGCGTTGAAAATGGCTCGCCTGTCGGCGAGGCGGAAGAGTGAAGCCAGGAAGCGCGGGGCGCGGTGCTGCTGGCAGGGCAGCCGCACAGCCAAAAAAAACACATATATAGATTATCTCTGGATTGCCAACAGCGTTGGAACATTAAAGTACTGTGCTCTGCCGACCTCCGCCTGTCGGGTGTGAAAAGTCGTGTGAGATATGTGGCTGTCCCCCATCCCCCTTGCTCCCCTCCGCTGGGGTCCAACACCCCATTTGAGAGGGGGAAGGGGGGGAGCACGAGCTCGTGAACGCAGCTCCGGGGCCATCGGAGGCTCCATATCCACCTCCGACGCCTCTGGGATGCCGCAGATGCCCCCGGAGATGGCTCAGGAGGGGCTCCGACGCGCCCGAGAGGCCCCTGGCATCCATGATTGCCTCAGGACGGCTCAGAAGACACTCAAAGAGGCCTCAAGAGGACCCACAAGACGGCCCGAGAACCTCCCCACACCCGTACAAAACGGCCGACGAGGCCGCCAACAGGGCCTGCAGAGGGCCCGAAATGGTCCCAAGACTGCCCAAGATGCTCCCTAAACAATCAAAAAGGCTCTCAAGAGGGCCCCAAGAGAGGCGGGAGAGGCTCGAGAGGGGGAACGCATGGGCGGGCCAGGAGAACCTCCCACAAGATGGCCCGCAAGACGTCCAACGAGGCCTCCAAGAATCCAAGAAGTCACCAATTGCCTTGGAAAGGCTCCCGAGAGGACGCCCCCGAGGCCTTCAAGAGGCCCTCGGAAAGCCCCGCAAGAGACGCCACGGATTGGGGGATCACCCTGCAACAACTGCAGTGGGGCATTGGATAAGGAACCATTGTGTAAGCAACCCAGGGTCTGAAAGCTCGTGGAGCTCCGATCATGGATTGGCCATAGGCATCACCGCCGCCCTCATTAGACAAGAAATCCTCGAGGCTTTGCAGCCTCCTGGGCGCATTCCTTAGCCAACGCCCCCACCATACGCGCATGCCGCACGCATCACGACGGTAGGCGGCGAACGACACCCACGACATCGGAAGCCGAACGGCTCATCCTCTGGGGGTCGGCGGAATGGCGCAAGCCAATTGAGCAATGGTGGCGATGAGGAGGAGGAGGAGGAGGAGGAGGAGGAGGAGGAGGAGGAAGAGGGAGCGGAGGCGGAGGAGGAGGAGAAGGACGAAAGGAGGGGGAGGAGAAGGAGGGGGAGGAGGAAAAGGAGGAGGGGAGGAGGAGGAGGAGGCGGAAGAGAAGGAAGCGGAGGCGGAGGGAGATGATGATGAGGAGGAGGAGGAATAACAGGGGGAGAAGGAGGCGGAAAAGTAGGGGAGGAGGAGGAGGAGGAGGAGGAGTAGGAGGAGAAGGAGGAGGAGAGGAGGAGGAGGAGGCAGAGGAGGAGGAGGAAGCGGAGGCGGAGGAGGAAGAGGAGGAAGAGGAGGAGGAGGAGGACGAGGAGGAGGACCAGTGTAAACCCAAGAGTCGCCAAGGATGTTAAAATAAACCCTCTCCCCACCCTCCCTCTTCATAGGCCCCTCACTTACACAGAAGGACCGGCCTCGTTGGAAGACAATCGTTTGAAGACCCTGAGACATGCCAAAACATTACGATCTGCATTCCAACGCCACGGGTGAATCTGACTGCTGCGTTTTGACGATACTAAATCGGACCAGAGAGCCATTCCTGGGACCAACTCTGCGAGTCATCGTAACTGTTGCGCCCTCAAAATCGTGAACTCGTCCAAAGCATAATTTCTGGTACGTCGATCATGGGATTCTTTGGTGAAACTCTTTTCATTTTGTTTCAAGAATGTGCGCGGCGCTAAGGTGAACCACATTTTGAAAAGGAACCGCCTTCAATCCGTAAAACTATTGCAAACTGTGCATCAAGAACACGCGCGGCACTAAAGCGAGAACCACATGTTGAAAAAGAGCCGCCCTCAATCCGTGAAGTTCTTGAAATTTGTTGCAACGGATGCGCGCGGCGCTAAGGCGACAGCCACATTTTGAAAAGGAACCGCCCACAATCCGCGAAAATCTTGCGAGATGTTCAAACCAACGCTAAGGCGAGAACCACACGTTGAAAACCACCTGCCCCCAATCCGTGAAACCCTTGCAAATTTTGTTCAACGAATATTCGCGGCGCTGGACCCCGCCTTCAATCCGCGAAATTGTTGCAACTTGTACAAACGAATATGCGCGGCGCTGGGGGGAGAGCCACATTTTGAAAACGACCCGCCCTCCATATGTGAAGCTGTTGCCAGTGTGTAAAATTCACGGTCGTAAATGGTAACGAACTCTCAGGCGAAACGTCCGGCCCGCCCTAAAAACTGGTCCCGGGAAGCGACCTGGAAAAGTGACTGATAAGGAGAAGGGATGGAGGAGGAGGAGGAGGAGGAGGAGGAGGTGGAAAACGAGTGAGAAGAAGAGAGGAGGAGGAGGACGAGGACGCGGAGGATGAGCAGGAAGAGGATGGGGGGGGGGGGACCAGTGGAAACCCAAATGTCGCCAACGATGTTGGAATTAACCCTCCCCCAAAATTGTCTTATTACAACGGCTCTTTTCCATTGCGGGAATTGCTTCGATGGAAGACAACCGCGTGGCGATCCTGAAGCGTGCCAAAACACTGTTCCCGGGATGTCAACGCCACGTATCAACCTGACTGCTGCGTCTTGACGATCCAAAAATGCTGCCAAAACTTGATTATGGAACTTGAACACAGCAAAGCAACACAACTGGTGCGCCAACATAATCCCGAATTCTTCCACAGCACAACTTGTGGTACGTTGACCATGGGAACCCGTGATAAAACGAATGCGTGCGGCGCTAAGGCGAGAACCACATGTTGCAAAGGAACCGCCCTCAATCCGTGAAGCGATTGCAAATTTTGCATCGGAAATATGCGCGGCACCAATGCGAGAACCACATGTTGAAAAACAGCCGCCCTTCACTTCGTGAAACTCTTGTAATCTGTTGCAACGAATGTGCGCGGCGCTGGGGCGATAGCCACACTTTGAAAACGGCACGCCTTCCATCCGTTAAGTTAGTGCAAAGGTTTACACCGAATGTGCGCGGCGCTCAGACGAGAGACATAGTTTGAAAACCACCCGTCATCCATCTGTGAAACGGTTGTCACTTTTTAACTTCAGAATCATAAAGGAGGAAAGACGTCTCAAGCGAAACACCCGGCTCGCCCCAAAAATATGCCTCGAGGTGCGACAGGGAGGAGTTATCTAGAATGAAAAGGAATGGAAGAGGAGGGGGAAGAGGAGGAGGAGGAGGAGGGGGAGGAACAGAAGAGGAGGAGGAGGAAACGGAACCAGAGAAAAAGAAGGAGGCGGTGGATTGGAAGGACGAGGAGGCTGAGGAGAAGGGGAGGAGGGGGAGGAGGAGGAGGGCGCAGGGGAGGGGAGAGAGGAAGAGGAGGAGGAGGAGGAGGAGGAGGAGGAAGACGCACTTGTTTATCGCAGGGCCAGGAATATTATCGCAGCGATGCTGGGCTCGCTTTGCGACAGGCTGAAACCAAACTACGAGCCAACTTAGGGAGCTAGCTCGCCTTCAATAACAGTCTGGCATGCAAACTTTCGTCAACGAATTTCAGAGGAATTAAACATGATGAAGCACGGAACGCGCTGCATTCGGGCTCGAAAACAACCGCTTGAGCCGCAATGGTGCGGCCGGGCATGCACACAACAGCATCGCACGCTTTGTAACACTCTGGTACCGCCCGCTTTAAAACACGACTGCATGCACTTGAGTATCACGGGGCCAGGATGATTATCGCAGTGATGCCTAGCTCGCTTTGCGACAGGCTGAAGACAAACTGCGAGCCAACTTGAGGAGCTAGCTCACCTTCAAAAGTCTTGCCACCAAACGCCAATAACTGCGACCTGGCGGTTGAGGCGGCCCATATCTGAGATGCTACATTTTCAAAGTTGCGACAGGCTTGGCGCGCGCATTTCGATCAGAGAGCGAGCAAGCGAAGAGGGCGAGGTTCTGCAACTTGCGTCCACAGCCGAGACCACTGTGCTGTCAAGGACGCAGAGATGTGACGGCTGCTATCCAAACAAGCGATGGTGGTCTGTTTTCTCCACGCCGTGCACTATCAACCGTACACGGTGCGCGTTACAGACGCACGCTGCAACAATCGTTTCATGCCAGGCTGCCTCCATAACCACGAGTTCCTCTGATTTTCCAATGACACGACACATCTGACTCGCATGCAAGTTTGGGTTATGCGCATGGAAACATGCAACGTGCGATTCCCTGCGCGCACCTCGTCGGCATCGAGAGGGCTACGGCGGGGGTACTGAAGCGAGCGCAGCGGCCCGCCAGGTGAGCCAAGCTTGCCGCATGGCGCACCTGAAAACTTGCGCATGGCGCACCAAGGTGTCACTACTGCGCTCTGGGCAACATGGCCAGTACACGCCGAGTCACTCGCTCTTTGCTCATGCCCTGATGAGCGGCGCCACTGATATCAAACGTTTCGACACCCCATCCGCGGCGCTTCAAGGCGCGCGACGGACCCTTCGATCCCGCAAACAGCTCAAGACAAAAGGGGCGGCGAGCATCCGGGGCGGGCGGCGGCGTCAGAGCAGGCCCAGGTTGCTCGAACGGCCCGACGCGCCCTTGCCCCAGGGCCACCTGCAGCTGAGGCGCTGCATCGGGCCCAGGCCCCCGGCAACCTGCTCGATCAGAGGGCCCGGAAGCCCTCCAGGGGCTGTCAAACAGGGTCGAGTCGTTGAACCCCTTCGTCTTGGTTGTCGCGCTCTCCTCCTCGGCCCCAACACCAGCGACGTGGGGCGCATAGTCGCCGCCCGCGAGCGGCTGGGCGGGGGCCGCGTGGATGGCCCGCAACG